ATATTAACTCACGAGAAAATGTTCGTACATTTATCATCTACTATTAATTATTTTTTGATGATTAGTCTAAAACATTCAATACAACCATTAAAAAGTAGTTCCCATCGTCGGGTATCGAACTCTCGATCGCCGGGTGCCCGCACCCAATCAAAAGTACGAGGCGGTTTAGTCAACTAGGCTATAATGAGTCCACGTGGACGAGAGTAAAAATAGCATACAAAAGACTCGGGCAATGGGCGGGACTTATCACAAGAGACCTTGACTGCTTTTGGGATGATATGAAGCGCATTGCTGTTTTGCTGTAGGAGCCATGGTTCGCACTGTTTTAATGCGTCTCGAGGTTCATGCCAGCACGCATTCCGATCGCGGCAGTTGAGCTAAGGCAATATTTGCGTAGGTATCCATGAATTAAATCAATCAATCGAGCTCTGATTTTGACTTCTTTATCCGTAACGAGTCCTCCAGAACAATTTTCCACCTTGTACGATGGTTATTATTTCTTTACTTCTATTTTTCAAATTTGAGGTGGGATAATGGCGACTTCTCAAGAACACCGAGGTAGGCGATCTTTTGCACCAACGAACAGAAAACTGATGGCGAAAAATAACCAATCAGAACCTCCCAAAAAAAAGAATTTGCCTAAAAACGGAACTTCGTGGTTCTGCGCAGATTTACCAGTCAGACACGACATTTCAAGATGGAAAAAAACTCGCTGAAAGCGAATTTTAGCAATCAACACAACTTGACGTAGAGACATGATTGGCTAAAAAATACAACGGTTTTTGATACATCGGAAAATCAACCAAAAATCGGAGACTGGGCGAAACGCTCAAGGTCGCAGAGGTATAGGGAATCCCATAGCGAAAGCAACGGAACGATTCTAATATCATGGGGAACTCCGTTCCCATGACAAAAAAAAAACCACATTGGATCTAGAGTGCAGACTCTTAAAAACATCGACAGCAAAAAATACTCTTGATTCGATCGGATTTTTGCTTGAATCAATAACCAAGCCTCTTAATTTGAGCGGATTTCTTTTTGATTTAAGCAAAAATCTGATTGAATCAAGAGTATATTTTCTTGTCGATGTTTTCAAGAGTCTGGACTCTAGATACAATGTGATTTTTTTTTCTAGTGCTGTATTGTCAAATTCACCATGCAAAGATATTGTGCAAATACATTAACAGCTGGTGTTGCCACTTTGCTTGGGGACTCCGAAGTTGGAACCACGGCAACCCTGTTAATATATTTGCTCTCTATCTGTGCATGGAGAGTTTTGACTAGTTATGTAGAGGTGTGCGTTCAAGCGTGGGATAACAATTCCATTACGGCCTGAACTTTGAGAGCTTTTTTTGAGCTTGGGAGTTGATTTCAGAGAAAACCAATGGCACCGTCGCGTTTCTCGCAAAAATTGTCAACAGGATTAGTATTTAAATCGCAAATTTCGCACCCATGTAAGTGCTCCATTGAAAAACTTCGGATCAGCCAGTCAAGTCAAAAGGCAAATTACTTACATTTACGAAAGTTAGAAACAAATGTGCATTTACATTTGACAAAAATCCTTTCAACCTGTAACGCTACTACGACATAATTGGCAACAAATGCAACAAAGGGCGGCTCTCAAAAAGTTGGCAACACCCCCGTCCTTTCAGCGTCGCCGCAATTTCTTTTAATCTTAGGGGTCCTGCCTGGACCCGGTGTCCATACTCGTTCTCCACAAAGATGCTCGATAAGTCAACGGCGCTAATAATAATTGAGTCCTGTTTTGATGGTTGAATCAAATAGATCAACCGGCTAAAAATACCATGATTTTCCCAAACGCTAAGTTCTATGAAATACACTGACGGAAATAGGGCCCTTTTCAAAAACAAGATGATTGACGGCACCCAGGTAGTGTAAACTTCGGTTTCCTCGCATGTCCCCTACAAAAGCTAGAATTCAGCCCTACTCTCGCGCTCACATCTGAATAACTGAAATCGGCGGGATAGAGAAATTGAGTTCGCCTTCAACACGATGGATGCAATTTGAGCGTCTCAGGAGTTGAAAAAGTTGTATCACGCTCGAATGTAGGTACAAACTTGTGTTTGGAGAGACCTGATGATTTGTGCTGATACATGGGTTCCCATGCACATTTAAAAATCCGACTCTTGGAACTAAGACCATAGAAAATTACCCGTCCTCCTCGCCATGAAAGTTAAGTTTGAGTTGACATGATAGTTGCTGCACTGTATCCTTACGGTCAATAGGCAAGATTCTAAAAGGGCGGAGAGTAGCTAAAATCGCTCGAATAAGCTGCTAACATTTTTTGAGACTGTGGGTCACAAATTTTAGACAACTCTTATAGTTGGGAAAGAAGGAAATTGTAATAGTTGGGATTCATACGTGAAAAAGACTGACTAAAGCTTACGAGATTTTTAGGTCATTCAGGTTAGATTTTCATCAGGTTAGTTTCATTTTAGGTTTCATCTTTCTTACGGCAAACCTAGTTGTTGGTGAAAAAAAAAAACACATTTCCAGCGAGGACACAGGAAAGCAGAAAATGCGTGATACGAATCACTATGAATTTTGTAAATTCAAGAGTAGATGTCCGACTTTGCTGCTATGATTGACGTACATTCCGGAAAATTTCGCCTTTAAAAAGTTTAATTACTGTTAGTTGATTGTATCTCTTTTGCGCACCAGACGAAAATCGGTAATTTTACCCTGGTGCTTTCTTCAGGTAACAAAGCTGCTCCAGATTCCTTTGATTACAGCGGAAACAAAGAATGAGTTTCGGTTGTTTAAACTTATTTTTAACATTGTCTAAATGTCAGAGAGGAGTTGTCCTTGTGCCCTTTCCCTCAAGAGACTGAAGTTTCATTCATACAAAAACACAGACGTTCCCTTGTGTCCTCTGAGAAAAGTAAGGCATCTTTTTTTATGGGGCAGCTAATATTATTTGTGTCGGTGTGTCAATGCTTGACGCAGTTGAACCGACGTTTAAAACCATAATCCTAGAGTGATAGCACCATAATAACTTTAATAACAAGTTTTCATACGATTTACGTGGTTACCTTTCACAAAAGAAAGTTAGGTAGTATTATAGACTCATAAGACTCTTCAAAAAAGTTCATGTAATAAGCATAAATCTACCGTGTTTTTGGTACGGGGAAAAAACCATTAAGCTCAACTGAGCATGTGAGGTTCGAAAATCCACAAAAGAGCGTTTTGGACGGATTTGACTTTCAAAACTTACTTTGGCGGCGTCCGATTCTACCACAGTGAAGCATTTCTATCCTTCAAACTCTGGTAAAATTGTATCCGCCACTGTGCTCACTAAGTGCTGCTGTACCAGCACCTATTGGATTTTGACCAGAGCTTGAATTTCTTGGTTCCAGAACGTTCAGCGAAGCCAAAATTGTCATTTCGACCCCCCCCCCTCCAAAAAAAAAATGAAAGAGCATTGAGATCCTAAGTTTGGATCTAACTTGTTGAAAGTAGTGTTTCAACGGGAGGTGGAAGCAGAGGTGCATCACCCCAGCTCCCAAACACTACGTTTGCTACTAGCTACTTAGGTATCTACTGGTTGCTACCTCAAGAGAAAAGTATGAGAGTGACTTCCCGGCCGGGTGATGGATCACAGAGCCATACAAGTAAGATTCTCGAATCCACAATGATGAATTCACGATTCATAAAGCAACACTTTTGCCACTTTTGTGAGGAAGTATAGATCTTCGGAACATTTTTTAAGTCTCAGGGGTAGAATTGTGTTGCCTTCCACCGCACTTAAATACACTTGGGGAGAGTCTCGACTGCTCCTAAGTCCAGCGGAGCTCTTCGGGTCCAGTTACACGATCAAATTGAGCCATCAAATTGGGCCTCTCATTGGTCGCATCCTCACCTCAGGTCTTTTTCCACCAATCAGAGCTTCAGTTTGATGGCTTAATTTGATCCTGTAACTGAACCTTTCTGATTGGCCGGTTGCGCGATTTGGCCTCATCGATGGATGCTGCACCTCCATGTGAATGAACCGGCAAAATTCCACCCCAGAGTCACGGCGTTTTCCTTTTCCTTCCTACAGAATGGGCCCGAGGAAAAATATACTGGGATGGTCATAGGTGGTTCTTACCTCTGTCTTTGTGATGCGGTGCTTTCCCAGCTTGACGACGGCGAAGTTCCCCTTGCCGATCGTCCGCTCGATGTCGTAGAACCCGACGCGGATCGCCGTTGTCTTCCGCTCGGCCATGTTCACCATCTCTCGCGCGCCTCCAGAACAGGCAGCATCTGCCGAAGCATCCCCTTCCGGCGTCCTCCCGCAAGTCGCCCCGCGGCTAGGGCCGCCACCCCCCGACACGCGCCCCCATCATACTCCACGCCACTGACGACTTCGAGCTCCACTTCCCTCGTCCGACCCAACAGTCTCTTCGGCCGACGATCACCTCGTCATGCACCGAATACACTCTACCACTTCCGACAATCGGTTTCGACCACTTTATCGTCTACTAAAGATGCAACTCCACTCCACGAGAGTATCAAGTATATACTTTGAAACCACCTCTCGGTCTACAATAGAACGGACTACACGTTGTTCAACTCAAAAACGGTGATATCACGAAGCTGACATGTGTCGAGCGGTTAGCATGGAGCGAATTTAAATTTAAAGAGGCGGTTGAGTGGTGCCGGTTGCACGCGCACGTGACACTTGGCAAAAATGTTCGCGTTTGAATAGCTCCGATTTTTTGCCGAGATCTGGATCTTGAGCTTTCCGGAACAAATCCTCTGACGATGAGTGTAGGCTTTTTGGAGCGGATTCCCCGAGCTTCCTTTACGCCGAGCTTCCGGGAAGCTGGGAACGTAACAAATGTTAACAGACCGGTGTTAAAATGAATGAACGTCAGCGACACTTGACACTCCTAGAAAAAACCGGGGTGTCCCGGAAAAATCTCACTCGTCCCGAAAAAACTACTTAGTAGGCACACGCAAGTGTACGCTATTGATACCGAGCCGAGAATCCGTCATCGAAGCGAAAAAACCGCGAGTGCATCCACCAGTCTCGACTTCAGAGTGGCTCCGAAAATATTTCACCGGTCGTCGAAGCGCCACCGCTCGTTTGAGCCGAAACTTATCTGAAATCAGTTTTTTCACAGTAGAAAAAGATAGCTGACCTGCTGGAATTCCCGGTAAAAGGTGCACAAAATCAGCAGACACTCAATGTGACTGTTATCACTAGGTTTAGCGCGGAAAAAACACTAACGAGGCAAAGTCAAAGTTTAGGGAGTGAAAAACTTCACGGTGTCAGTATCTTCATTCCACAACTTCCGTATTCAATTTCGGTCATTGTCACTGGGAGAGTGATAAGCACATGATGAGCCGGTAGTGAAAGATAACGAGATTAGGAAGAGATAAGAGAGGAAAAAAGCAAGGGTCTCCGTCTGCAGCTAGTTTGAGCGAAAACCACCGATCGGTTCGGAGGTGAAAAGCGGAAATTGTATGGGATTTCCGGGATTTTCCGAAGGTTTGGGTTGAGTCGGCGCGGCGTCTGGACAGGTCCCGGCCCGTGGCGGTACCGGCGGCGGTGGGGTCAGGCGGAGCACTGATAGCGGCAGGTTGACGGCTCGCGCGGGCCCCGGTTGTCGTCATTCGCGACGCCGGGCGCCCCGCGCCGGTGCTGCCATCTGCCTTTACTACGCGCAAACCACCGAGGGCACTCAAATATTCACGCTGATGACGTCAATTGTTTCCCCTCGTTGCCGTCGCCTCCAGTGGAAGCCTTGTGTTCTATATCGATTCGAGAGGAGGTGTCCGGGAATTGGCGCTCCATCTAGCAACCGAGAAATTACTCCAGGTTGCCCCGACTGGATGTTTAAATTTTCTGCTTCACCAACGAGAGACATGATGCGGGGAGATTCTTCGTCAAAAACACTTGGACACACATGTTCCTTGCGACTGCACGGAAAAAATTAAAGTTCTGATTTAAAAATGCAGCTGCTGAAAAAAGTGACCGCAACGTTTCAACGTAGATTTTACAACAAAAAGTTACTACTTTAACCACTATTGTAATCTAATCTTTGCAATGTTTTTGTTGTAAAACCTACATGAAGCACTGCAGTCACTTTTTTTAGCAATTGAATTGTTAAATCAGCAATTTAATTTTTTCCGTTTGTTCCCAGAAAAAGCATGTTATTGTCGCCGGATCATAGAGGAGTCTCCTACGCATTTTGGGGCAAAAACATGCAACAGGAGTTATGAAGTCCTCCACTTTATTTTTGGGTCAAAAGACGAAGTTTTGAGAGAAAGCCCTTCAAAATAGTCGAAGCATAAACTTGTCGGATTCAAATGTGAGTGTACGCATGGGTGGAAATAGGGGGCCAGCTGGGTGTTCAGCCCCCCCCCCCCCCCCCCCNAAGATACCTATTGGTATTTGGCCCCTCTTAGAAATGTGAGGGATTTTGCCAAGAAAGTGCGTGGCATATTTTCTGTCTTCAATATTGTAATTGGATACAATTTTCGTTGGAAACATTACAAGATTGTTCCTGTGGCTACTCAATTTTTCAAAATTTCCCAGGACTTCTTTTGATACCTACTTGGGAAATTCCCTTACCCCTCCTTCATAGGTGGGAGCGTTCTGTACCCTGGTAAAAATTGGCAGTAGAATCTGTGTTCCAAAATACCATAGACCTAAAGCCGGCTGTAAGATTTCCAATAGCTTCCGTAGCCGGCTGTACAATTTCTTTTAGCCTTTTATAGCCGATGGCGACTAAGCAACAGCCGGACGATAAAGTTTATGCTAAACGTCACTAAGTACGGATACTAGGACTTAGTTAGTTTTTGGACCACCGCTCTCTTTTTGTGCCGTAGTATCTTGATTTATTTTGCGAGGAATGTTCCGTACTTTTGAAGGATGCCTGTCATTCTTAATATGTAGGAGCGCCTTCAATTTCTTATGATACTGTGCAAAACCTCTGGTGTGAAATAGTTGCTTCAGACGCCGTGGCACGCTGCGGCGCGGCGGCGGGCGGGCAGAGAGCGCGAAACGCACATTAGCGCCTACAAACCTAACGGGATACTTCACGCATTACGCAATGCGTGAAGTATCCCTGTTAGGTTTGTAGGCGCCAGTGCGTCGCCGCTCCGCTTTGTGTTAGGCTCTAATATTTAATCTTGCGGAGTCAGAGTTTTTCAACTCATGATTTTGAAATGTTTGCACACTCTGTATGGATAATTCTCATTTTAACTGACGAAAAAAAAATATGTTTTAAAGGAAAATATAATGTGTGTTTTGTAAATATTAAGGTAGTTCCGTATCAAACTTGATGATCTCCAAAGCACACGAATTTCTACACAATTTCTTATAGCCTTTTATAGCCAATGGCGATAAAGTGTAAAGCCCGGCGATAGGAACTATAGCCCGACTGTATACTTTTCTATAGCTTCGTATACCCCGGCTATATGATTTGCTCCGCTTTCTGCATACAGCCAGCTATATGATTTTCAATAGCCTTCTTTAGTCGGCTATAGGAACTCCTATGGTATTTTGAAACGCAGCTCCTATCGCCAATTTTTATCAGGGTAGATCCATCTTCGTCAGGAGTCTTCACTCCTGACGGGATCTGAAGGGCCTGATATATCAGGAGCCATGTGACTAGCAGAATTTTTTGGCTGTAGTAGCATACCTACCAATATGGAATCTAATAGCTAAATGAACATTAGCGTGCCACACAGCTCGTATGACTGATATATCTTCACGAAACGTTCGAAGAAACAAGAAGTTTCTCCCTTCCTATAATTCTCTTTCATTTGTTTTCTCCTTTGGGGGAGGAGCCTCTTCTCATCTCGAGGAATAGGAGAGGGGCGCAAGATTTGCAAAATAATAAACAAATTAGAATGGAAATTGATAGCCACGATGATGGAGGCTGGAGACCGTATGGTTAAATTCATGGTTATCGATACTGTTTGATTGGTGGCAGGTTTTCGTGGCTACCAGAAATAGTTTAAATCATATCATGTATTAAGTTATATCAGAAACGTTTAATTCCTTTCCCCGTTTATTAGCCCTTCGCCCCCAACACACAGTTGCGTAGGCAAGGGGGATGCAGGGGGTCTGGACCCCCCCCCCCCTAGCCTC